TATATATATATATATATATGATGTGCTAAGACGATAAACATTGTCGGACTGAGGGAAGTTTTCTGGACCATTCGATCAAAATGGTTTATATTCTTGTATTAATTGTACTAAGAACACTATAAATAATGTCCCGCTCCTCTCATGAGAAGGGAGTTCAAGCTTAGAGAGGGAGCCTGAGGCCTTGGGAGGAGCTGTAGCTCAACATCACCGCCGACCGTCGTCGACCAACGCCGACCTCAGCTGACCTCCACCAACCGTCATCGACCACAATCACCATCAATCACCACTGACGAGATGACATCAGTCAACACTATAATCTGAAAAATATAGTAACATTTCCCATCTGTGAGATAAGAGATTTTTGCAATCATCAATCAATAGTGGAGTTTTACAACTGAGCCAAACCCCTGATTTTTTTCTTTACGGATTTTTCACGTAAAAATTTATAAAGCCGTCACTACTTGTTTCTCTTTCATCCGTGTGTGTGCTGAATTCTCGTGCAATGCTAAGACAATAATCCGTTACTCTGCCGCCGTGAATTGTCTAGCACGCATCAATAGAGAGAGAGAGAGAGAGAGAGACTAGTTGAGGCCCTGAAAATTGGATATCTAATATACGTGCATGGCCTCACGTAACATACTAATCATTAATTACTTACTGCTATATATATATCAAGCGCACTATATATATATATATATATATATACACGTCCCTTAATGAGCCGGTTTGACTGATTAATTAGAGCATATTAGTTGCATCTTTGTGGGATTATTTATATACACTGATGAGAATAATTATGACGCAGAGGTTTGGATTTGTTTCTGTAACAAACAAACCGCATCGAACATTGTTCCTGGTCAAACTTCAGGGGACAACAATTATATAAGATCTATAATTGCATGTTTCGGATTAGGTATTGACGTATGGTCCAAGCTTAAATGGGGTTAGTACCAGAAAGACTAACAAGTACACTAAATGTTAATTTCTAAGCATAGTCTTTATAAAATATAATAGCGTTTATTTAAGAAAAAATTAAATAGGAGAAAATTAGATTGAAATAAATCCTTGGGCTTTCAAATAATATCTGCGTTAATATTCTACAGTGATGGTCGTTCATGGAAGTTTGGCCCATTTTCAGGCCCAAATAACTTTTGCGTTTAAATCCAAATCCACTTAAACCCCACCATGATCTAAGATGGATAAATTTGAGATGAGATGGTTCCAAGTCCATATTTTAAGACTATAGTCTTAAAAACTATTGTATATTTTCAAGAATGTTCGTATAGTTTTTTAGATTAAGCATGATGATCGGGATAGCATGAAAACCTTAAAAGGATGAGTTTTGGTGTATCTCATTGATGTTATTGGAATGTGAATGGTTTAAATTAAAAGATTGGAGAACATGAATATGTAAAATTTGTTAGTTCAAAAAGTTTGGTTGTATTATCTCCATCATTTAGTTCATTAATCATCTCGTCGTGCTCCACTTTGGAGTAGTTTTTATATATAAATAGTGGAACACTGGTGGTAATTGTTACAATATTCAATTAAGATATCATAATCATTCTCTAAGTTTTTCCAAGTAATCCCAACATTGAAGC